GTGGGCTTACAGAAAGAGTGCATGCCTTACATACTGTACATTTAAATGTAGCGTTTAAAGAAAGCTGACGCATCAAACTGTGATTTCACATGCGAGAATGTGACTTATGATTCATATCTAACCTTCGTGACTTTCTCGGCTATAGAATCCCTAACTATTTTCTTTCTCTGCCAGACTTAATGCTCGTGTCTCCGTAGATATAATACCATCATAAATCACTGTGTCTTGATTCATGGTTCATAGCACAGTTTAGCGTACCATATTATTTAACATGAATCTATCGTAAAGCCTTTGAATTTGAGCTTCCTACGCCTGCTTCTTCCATCTAGAGCTGGAGAGCCATCGCGGGCTTGTCACGACAGAAACCAGATGCAGCAGATCTGCTATTCTCGGATTGTTTTTCCAACCCGCTGGTTTCCTTGTGCTTAAAAAGTGCACTCTCACCTAAAATAGCCCCTGAGTCTGGAAGAGATGCTCTGCATGTGGCACAGTCCACCGTGGCCTGACCCGCTCTCTGAGTGGAGATAAGGGACTTTAGGATTTACTAATAGAAGGAACAAATATCATTATAACTATTATTGTTTAGTACCTGATATTAATTTTGTTTATCATATTTGACTGGATCGGATGGTTTAGATTAGTTATTAAACATTGATGAAATCAAAAGTAACTTACAATACAATAAGCAACAGAGCATAGCTCAGCAAAGAGTTTAAATGAATGTTGCAGTAAAAAACAAGATGCAGTTAAGTGAGTAAGCTATACAAAATGGGTTATAAGAGCAGTTTTTACTTCTGTAATGGAGTGTAGTGAGTTCCAAAGGTTTAAATGCATCTTGGGAGAAGGCACTGGCACCCAATGTGGCGAGGCTGATGGCTGGTAGAGAGAGTGGACGTGCCAATGGAGCCCGTGGGGAGTGGGAGGAGGTGTGAGTCGAGAGAAACAAGACATTATATTCAAGGTTGGGGATGTGTACCAAAACCCTCAAGGAACACAAGACAACACAGTTTACAGACAATATACACTGGTTTAGGGAAGCCTAAAATACACAGATATGTTTTCTCATCAGACGCAGAATGAATTGTTTGATTATGGTTTGGTCACAAATGAATAATTATGGTACACTCAGTTAATGATACGTATCATAACTTACAAAAACTCACCTCTTCAATCTGGCTTTTAATGTGTGATTGTTTTTGTATTGCTTGATTTTGATTGGACTTTAACTATATATATTTATGTGTTCTTTTCTTTTCACTATATCTGTAAAGCGTCTTTGAGCACCTGTAAAACAACAAAATGAATCTATTATTATTATTATTATCATCAGAGGGGATAGCTGTTGTTTACCGCCGTTAGCGTCTATGATGATACGTTCCGACATGCAGGTGGAATAAACTATCAGTTTCACAAAATCCCCCGTTGTGTGTGTGTGAAACCATGGAGTACATTTCAGTAGCATCAGGTCAAGTAGGAGCTGTAATAACAGTATATACGGACACCATCTTATTTGCCAAAACAATATTTAAAGGTTTTTAGTTTGTACCTGACAAAATAAACAACTCATAAGAGCTTCTATTTAGTGAGATGACAAGATATCTCAGTATTCTGTATGACGGCACGTTGAGATTTCTGCAGGGAGAGAAGTGGTTCCAGATGTGATTGGGATACTTCACAGCTCGGCCAGTTTGTGCTGTGCAGACAAGATAATTTGTCCTCAATTACAGGCTCTTTCTTCTTGCATCAGTCATGTGGCTAAACACTTGTTGAGCTTAAGTTTATGTGATTCTTAGAACTGAGAGCTTGTGTCGTCATGGCAGCAAAGGCCTTTTCAGCCAAGACAAGGATTGCGTTCCGATAATCCAAAAATCAGCTCCTAAATTCTAACCCTATCTCCTATTTCTTGACCTCTGAGTGAAACATCACGGGGTTAAGGGATAGTGGATAGGAGAATTCAAAAGGATTTAGGAGAAGAGACCGCGGTACTTTAGAGAATCCGAATGCACTTTCACTATCCGACGTGTTTATGATGCGCCAGCGGATGTCATTTTGTGCGTCTGCTGCTGTGGGGTAACCATGGAAACTATAGTTTTCTATACAGCGGACTACAACATGGATGTTTAATAAGAACCACGGACTCATCTAGAGACTGCACCGTGCTCTGATGCTGTTGCTTTATGAACAACAGAAAAACATATTCTTCATGACCAAAGTTGGAATTGAAATAAAAAAGGAAAGTGAAACTTATGCTCGTCACCCTCTCCCTCCGGTCCACATTAATACAAATGATCCCAATACGTATGATTGTATGAAAATATCTTAAAATTAATACAAATGTATTTATTATAAACGTTAGTCCTTCACATCTATCACTGTGTATATCACCATTCAAACATCTTTTAAAAGTTGAACAAACCCCACACAGCTCAGTAAAGACTGTGAGATGTTGACTTTATTTGATCATTTCAGTAAAAACTAACGTTCATATTTCTCTTTTTGATTATAATACTGATGAACGTTCAGAAAAAAGCACTTTGGCAACTTACCACATACGTTTTAAAATGCTTAATAAGCACCGTGACTTTCATGATATCATTTCTCGGTCATAATCAGTTGTGTCCGTGAACGGCCGACTGTTGTGATGGCAAATGCTGCGGCTGCAATGCATTGTGGGGCAGCATTGTCTCCTCTCCTTTCGGTTAGGGAGGTCCAGTGGTTCCTAAGCTAAAGGAGGTTATAAAGGAAGTTTGAAACCTCCTTTCCTATCATTTGGAGAATTGGAACGGCACTTATCATGGCTGCCACTGAGGTACTTCCGGGTCATTTCACTCCGTTAGGAAGGTTCCTAAGCTAAATGGACTATTGGAATGCAACCCAGATTTGAATTTGTAAAGAATGTTTGGGGTTTTCAAAAAACTTTTTAAATGTTTTTTTGAATATCAAGAATGATTGTTGTGCATTGAATACCAATATGCTTTGATATTATAATTGTTTCTTTTATGTTGATGTTTTTAACCCCTACTTAGTTTCACAATATGTGACAATCTGACATTTCACAATTCTTCTGCCTCTTTCAAATCAATGAGACTTTGATCGTCTTTCATGATATCAGCCAGACACTGTCCAATATAAAGTCTTGGAAACTGAAAGTCTCTTTCCTCTGCTTATCTGGAAAAGGTAGCCTGTAAAGAAAAGTCTGACAAACAACAGACACACCCTGGTTAGCTATTTAATGTCACCTCTTTATGATGCAGGTGTGCCTCAGACAGTTGCTCTAAAGTCCAGTTCACTGTAACACAGTATTTGAGAGTCTACATGAAATCCTGCTCGACATGCCTGTGTAATTTGGGCTTGTGTGTCTCTCCACCTTGAAATAATGTTGTGCTGCATGCTTTGTTGGATAATCCAAGGCTATCTGGAGAAACTGTTAGGCAAGGCTAATTGCCTGCTCAGTGACTTCTGACAGATGAAAAGCCAAATAAATGTCTGTCCGTCAGGGTGTGTAAACAATCTCATACGAGCTCTGTTAAAATGTTGACACGAGCAGCTCTATCCCACAAAACCACCAATCTTGGAATTCGAAAGATATTTTTCTTTACTTCTCAAAAATACAAAACAGTACATTCAATCCAGAAAAAAAAAACGTTCACAATGCGTTACTGTCAAATCATATAAAAGAAAAATGAACAGTGATATCCACTTTAAAATGGGAGATGGCAAAACAGATATACAGTGCAGACGTACCCACAGACGTTGCTGTTTCTGTTTGGACGTACATAGAATTCTAAATCTATTGCTAGAAGCGGGACACTTGTGGTTGGTATATTTTGGAGAATGCCCCGTTGGGAACTCAGGAATGCGACGGGTTCTGGGTTTGCCCCACAGGCTTTCCTGGCAACCCCCCCACTAAGGCACAGACTGAGGCTCTGTCCTAGCTCTCCAGGCCTGAGCAAAGTGGACCTAGATTGTCTGCACAAATCTCAGTTTGACCATGCGTGCTTACATGAAGTACATGTGTGTTTTTCTATACTTGTGTGCCAACGTATGTGAGATTCAAGCGTGCGTTCTTCACGTGACGGGGGTCTGTTTTGTCAGAAGGTAGTGTTTAAACCCTCATCAGGACTTTTGCTGCAGTAATGGATGTCTCTGGTCCTCCTCCCTTGACACCCCCTGCATATGTGGAAGTATCACGTTACCCTTTACCACTTTCCTTCTCGTGCGCCACTCACCAGAGCATCGGACTCTGATTTGCAGCTAAGAAAACAGCCTACTCCAACTTTTTATTTTTTCATCTAAGGTCTTGGACCTGTGGCCCAACTTGGTCTGCAGCCCAACCTGCCACCACTGGCTGGCTTTTATTGGAAGCAGAGCTAAGTGTTTGTTTTCACTGCATTGTTAGGAATGAAAGATGGGGGGTACCTTGGTCTACCTATGAGTGGGGCCTCTGGGATGCGTGCGGAGGAAAAATTGCCCTCTCCACACAATAGATTGGCAAGCACGCCAAGACATCACAGCTCGAGGACCTTGGATTCCAGCCGCAGCTTTTCTTTTCTTAAACACAACACTCTTAAGTCTTAACAGCCGTCGTCAGTGCTCTGCTTTGTGGTTTGAGAGATTACATAAGCAAAGGAGCAAAGTAAGAAGAGGTGAAAATGGCCAGCTCGGTATTTGACATCCGTCGGAGTTCAATTATTAACTAAAACATTGTATCCACCTCTCCAAGGGGTAACTCTAGGAGAACATTAACTATGGGTCATTTCTAGGTTTCACCTTTTACATTTTGTTTAAGGATTAATGTTTAACAAATGTTGTGGACCAATGTGTGCAGACACAATGGTGCTCTTATTCAAAAAGCAAACATGTTTTCCTGAAATAGTCAAAAAGAAATCGTCATTTTCATCCTGTCAATCAGTTTTGGTTTAAAATAGTAGTTTCCATCCATTAAAGCATGGGTGAGTCAAGTTCTCCCGAAAGGATTTGGTCTTTACTGGGTTTCCAGGTATTATCAGAAATCTCCAGATTTATTTCAACAATAACTGCTTTAGGGTATTGTTTTGTCCATAAAATCCGGATCATATCCCAATAGAAAGGTGCCGAATTGGATATTTTCTCCATATTCCAAACCTAGCTGACGGCCTGGCTCCTACGCTGTCTATTTGTGGAGTTTGTCCATCACCTGGAGGACATCATCCAGGATTGAAGGGCCCAGGTCGAGGCTGAAAGAAAAGCCACTGTCCTCCTCCTTATGCTGCAGTCCAACAGTTTTGTCAAAAGTCTCTGTGGAGTCTTCATCTCTGTCTGAATTCAGACTGCCCCGTCCACCGCTGTGAGCCAGGTTGGGAGAAACATTATTCCCTCTTTTGTACCCATCCTCCTTTTCCATCTCTGCTTCCCCGTCCTCATTGTCCAGCAGCGGCATAGAGTTGCATATCTTTTTTTTCTGGGACATGTGCAGGCGGCCTACATGCCAGTCGGGGCTCTCGGAGCCCTCGGCCTCCTCCAGGTTCACACGAGGGGGCTTTGGCGGGGGAGAGCAGGCCAGGAAGAGATTCTGCTCGCTCTGGGAGCTCTGTAAAAGCAGATTGTGGCCCATCTTTAAGAACGACAGATCTCCAAAGCTGTCTGTGTGGGAATCGTTGCCAATATGTGAGAGGTGGCGGAAATCAGCCAGTGGGAGGCTGATCATGTTGACAGACAGCACCTCCCGGCGCTTGGTGTTCCTGTTGGGCCAACGACCGGAGGCTGGCTTTCTGTGCAACGATGTTCTGAGGGGCATCTTGGCAGATACTGTGAGAGAAACCTAAATGTTTTTATCTATCCTTTTTTTATATATCCTCAGTCTTTAAATCCTTTATCCTTCTTTGTTCGACAAGGATTCCTTAGGAAGTGATGAAGCTCATAATTCCATCTGCATCAAAACACAAGAGAAGAGAAATTAGAATTCACCAAGTTAATAACTTGATTGCACTTCGTTCTTAGTAAGGATAAAGTAAAAAACATATAAACCCAATTGTACAATTAAATGTTTTTCATGCACGACAGCCATTCTTGATATAAAAAAAACACTGACACGTATACTGTAGATCCGTTTTTGATCGCTCAGGCCTCCTTCACATCATGCGAAAATATGGCGCATGTCTGTGCTTGTGCTTGTAAATTGTAGCACCAGATGTAAGTTTTGGACTGATTCAGTCGGCTTGATGTGAATCGGGAGCAATTGTTAAGAGATTGCACCTGCTCCACTTGATTTTGATTTAATATAGTTGATATTATTTGGCAGTACAGAGTTGTTCCTACAATGCTTTGAAGCTTCCATTTCTAAATATTTACTTTTCAGATCCCTGTTTCTTCCCTTGAATGCAGGTGTGGTCTGCAGCCTACTCTCTTAAGGAAGTCTATTAGCCTTCTTATGACTTGCCGTAACAAAAGCAACAAAAATGCATGTTCCCAAAATGATTGTTGTTATCCTGCATATCCTGTTTCGTTTTTGGAAGAACATGAGGTTTACCGTAACTTCTGACAGAAATCAGAATCAGAAATTTGAACATATGTTTCTGATTTGTTAAAAAAATAAAAATCGCTGTAGTTCAGTTGTTTTATTTTGCTGTAGTGTGAGAGATAGACTCTGGATGTGGAAGTGAATACAGTTAGATATTATTATTACATAAACAACACTGTAGGCAACACAGTTCAAACTAAGCTCTGTAATGTAGTTATTACATTATATTATTGGCGTTATTATAAAAATGTTTATATCCACCAACAAAACTTAAAAGGAAACATTCATGGTCACATTTAACCAATACAATAACACTTAAAATGAAAGTCTTACTTTGTCTTAAAAACAACAACATCATTCTGCGTTCCGTGACCTATAATCATTTTATTGAGTAAAACAGAACTCGGTTCATCAACGCTGGCATGTCGATTAGATAATCTGCCCCGTGTCTGTGATTTTACGGTCTCCCAAACAGCTCGGCCCACATTAGATCTGCGTTCGTGACTTGAAACACTCACTCTGTACATTTGTAAGCCACTACAGCAAACAGGTTTTGTTGGCCTGTAAAGGTTTTATCGGCACTTGAGTAGCAGCGGGAGATTGGAGAGCGTGGACACAACAGCATTCCTTTCCAAACATGTCAGTTTGGCCAAGGAGGAGTGTTAGGACTTCAGCCATGAGAATCTTGTTCGGGAAACGCTTCATGATCAAGTACAAAATTAAAGAAGCCCCATTAAAACAGATTGGCCAAGAAACGATTACAAATCTTCCTCAATGCTGCCATAAATCTCTGGAGCGGACAACAAATCTGTCTAATGTAAACTTTAACTACGAGTTAACACTAATTCCAGAGGATTCCTTTAATGCAGTTTGTCTAGAAAACAATATGATAAAGATGAATGTGTTCTTACCTGTCTTGCTGAGCAAATACAAGATATTTGAATCCAACAAATGCACACACGTCTCTGTCAGGAAAATGGGCAGCGTCTACCTGCACACCCTGACGAAATGATCCTCGACATGATGGGGCTTGTTCAACGGCTACAGAAGATCTTACTGAGCAGCCTAGACACACAACAACAGACCCAGTGACTTCTCCTCAGTCACATAATCACAACATCAACTTTTACAATAAACTGTAGCATTTAAATGCCTAAAGAGTGTCTCTTACCTTTTTCTAGTAAGCACGTTTTTTCAGCCCTTGGACATTTGATCCCTTTTTTTGTAGCTAATCCTCTCCAGTGTAAACTCCCTCTCGCATTGAAGAGTGATTCAGGTGTGTTGCCGGTGAAAGTCTTCTTTGCTTGAGAGATAAGCCAGGTGAGGTCAGAGTACAAGAGCGCTAAGCGGTCCAGGTAAAGGCTTTTCTTCCTTTTTTCCCCTTAAGGCTTTTACTAGTTTACGTTGTCATCCCGCTTTAGAATGGTTGCCAGCCGTCAGATGATATCATCCTAATTGCGGAGTGAGCTGGCTTTTTAGTCATAAGTGTTAAAGTATTTCCTGCAGTCAGATTGGCTGCACCCATTACCTGTGGGACAGTGGTGGGAAACACAGAAAACGGTTATAAAAACTACGGTGCGTGACTCATTTGGAGAGCTTGAAGTCAAGTTAGAATGGGTTACTGAGTGTAGGCCAGTTTGCGTGTGGTTCATAGATTGAGTGCTTGTGTCTAAAAGGGAAGTCATCGTCAGTGAACAAACGGGTCAGCCACCCAGTGGAGGGGGTTAACTGATCTCTAATCTCCATGTCATTGTCCCTGAGCGCTGCTGGTTTGCTGATTTCCTGCCTGCTGCTGGCGTGTCTAAAGCCCGCTCCACAGGCCCTTCTGCCTGACTGGAGGCCTTTAGCTTCTCTGTGTAATCAAAGCACACTATGACACACAGACATGTATGTACAGGCATGCTGGGTTGCACAGGAGAGATAACTTGTTGCATTTCCAATTCTCAGGCCCCTGGCATGTTGCCTTTGCCTTTATGAATGCTGTAGCAACAAAGGAATGGAAATTGTGTCAGAACAGCAAACCTTTTTCCCTGCTCTTTGGAATTTGTTTGTGTTCAAAATGGCAGGGTTAAATCCCTTTGTTGTGCTCTCACGAGGAGTCATTGTTACTTATGTTCATTCCATTTTGGTTGCATAATGGTTTGGAAAGTAAAAACATATATATCATATTCTTCAACTCGAGTCCCAGTGTTTATAAGGAGAATATATTCAAACTTAGACACAGTCATGCTCTGGGTTCCCAACCAACTTCGACAACATAGTGTTCCAACAGAAAGGAGGACACGGCTGTGGATCCATTTATCCTTGTTTATTAGACTTAAACATGCAGGATGTTAAGGAAATGTATTATCTTTTCAATTTACACACGGCATCTATTACACGTCTCTCCGTCCTGGGAGAGGGATCCCTCCTCTGTTGCTCTCCCTGAGGTTTCTCCCATTTTCCCCTTTAAACTGTGGGTTCTCTCTGGAAGTTTTTCCTTGTACGATGTGAGGGTCTAAGGACAGAGGGTGTCGTATTGTCATACTGATTCTGTACACACTGTGAAGACCACTGAGACGAATGTAACATTTGTGACATTAGGCTATATAAATAAACATTGATTGATTGATTGATTGAAATGGACAAATCATATCTTTCACTACTCAATAAACAATAGGCAGGCCGTGTGATCGTCTCTTCTCCCGCCCTGCACTCCAGCGCCAGACCAGTGTGTAAGAGCCGACACAATTACTCACGCAAATGAAATTATCATAACATTTACTCAAGATCGAAACAGAACATTTAAAAAAGATTTTTCTTCTGAGAAACCCCATACTTTCTCCACCTATAATCACAAAGCTGCTTTAATGCTGGAAGACAATCAGGGTGAAGAGCTCAGGTTATCTGTAGTGCTGGGTTGACCTTATAAGACCTTCTGACTGACCAAGGTCGGCCTCACGCTGCAGTTATGTTTGCATGCTATGTAGTTTCAGGGCTGGTACGTTAAGCCTTAGCTGAACTTCTGTATAAGCCTCTTTTCTAAGGCCTGACCATAGCGGGCAGTGTGGTTGGATGCAGCTATGCTGGGCCTGAAATCTGGGATGCTGCATGTTTTGTTGTTGTTGCAGGATAAAAAGTGCTTCCAGATATTGCTTTGACTGGCGCTAGAAGCCCAAACTGAGGCTTTGGTGGATATTCTTCTGGCTCTTTGTTGTGTGTTCTTCAGCTGCCGCTGTATCGAGGCCCTCAGACTGCCAGCAGCATCTAGACGAGATTTACAAGAACTTTCAAATTGTTTTATATGAAAAGCATTATCCAAATGACTGCAAACATCGGACAAACTATACTTGCGATACAATTTGATTGTAGTACATCTATGAATGGGTATGTCAAGAATGAGTCCAGACGGTCCATTCATTGCTCAATCTTGGGTCGTCCACGAAACGACCCGTCTCCAAATCAGTTCCCAGTAGCTACTCTTCGTCATGTCCTTTAATCAATTCTGGTGAGAGCATGTGTCATCATCCCAACCATTGTCGTCACTGTTTGTCTCCAAAGATATGACTCGGGTATGATCACTTTTGAATGTGCTCCAACAAAAGTCTGGCAGTCTGGCTGCTTAGAGGAAGTACTGCTTCTCATTTGCCACATGACAAAGATCTGACATCAGTCAAAGTCCAGGTGTTATCTTTTTGAATATCAAGTGCAGACTCATTATCACATGACAAAGCTTACAGTAGCCTCTAACCAACTGAGGAACCAACATGATGACAAATCTGGTGATTAAAGGCGAAACATACATTTCTGGGAAGGTAATGTATATTGATGCCAAATACCACAAAAACACAAAGTAACTTAATTATTGACATGTTACCTGTTTTTTCTTTCTAGCACCATCACACATTTTTAACTATTTACAAATGTGTTCAGGACTTCGTGTTAAATTGGGCATAAAGCAGGAAATGCAGCATCTGTTTTTCCGTCAGAGAAATATGATTTTTACGGGAATACTTGTGGACTTAGGGTGTGAAATTCATCCCTAGTATTCTCCCTCAAAGAAACGTTATAAAATGGTCATTTGGTGATATTCAATACAGAAATTACTTTTGTTGATCTTTATTTATGGTTTTGAACATATACAATGTATAAAGCTTTCTACTTAGTGTTTTTTTAGATTGAGCAAATAAAAAGTAATGTACATATGCATAGCTCATTACATACTTACTCGGTCAGTGAATGTGGGCGGTCAGTGAAGGCTGGGATAGTACTGCTATGTCTCCTGGCACAGAATCATTAGTAATTATAAAATCATGATTGATATATTTACATTACTTTGAAGACTGGAGGTATGATGTAAACAGTTACACAGCAGGATACATTCCACCGCTGGTTTGTTCTGCACGTAACACAACATAATATAGATAAGGACCCGTGCACAGACATTTCAAATGTTATGTTTGGAACCTTGATTTCTTTTTTTTCCTCCCCTCATAACACTTTAAGTTCTTCTTGACATCTCCAAGGTTCAGACTGCATTCTTACCAGTGTCACTTTTGAGAAGTCTGTTGCAATCAGAGGGCTTTTCCCGGAAGGCCAGGATGTGAAAGACATCATTTTGCTTTTACAACGATGTATTGTTGGATATTAAAGAGGCCAAACCCCCACATCTCCCTATTCTAGGATCCCTGAGCTCATCCATCACAAAGAGCAATGCCAGGGCACCGGGAGTTCAGGCCTTCGCTGCCATTTCTCTTTTCACTGTTTATTTCTTTAACTTTAACAGCTTCCAAAAGGCTCTCTCCCTCCCCGTCCAACAGGGTTCTACTCTGTCTTAATACCGTGACCACGTACAACCATATGCCTACACGTGCACACAGACGCTCACACACTTCCATCGCACTTCAAATCCATTGACGTTTTTCTCCCTTGAATGACTTTTGAGTGTTATTGGCTATCTACAGTCCACACGCAGCTATCACTTCCTGTACAGCAGTTCATCCAGGAACTGTAGTGCCTCTAATCTAAAATGTTCTACATCCTTTAATCTTTTTTTTAATTTGTTATCCACTGCCGTTATTTTTATTTCGTCTCAGAGAAAATAAGGAAATATGCATTGTCTTTTTTTTTATTGCAGCACAACTTTGTGTTTGTTTAAATTAGCATACACAGTAAATACCTTTCCCAATGGTTGTAAATCTTTACAGGTTACATCCACATTAATTAAGAGTCAATGATCTGTAGATGTATCTACTAAGATTGCATTCTGTTCAGACAGAAACACTTTTGCTGTCAAACGAAAGGAGGGCTTGCCTGAGAATTCCGTTCAAAAACCAGATGTTTGAACTACATGTGCATCCACAGGGTTAAATACAGGAAGTACATTTGGGCCTTAATCTCTGTGTAGTGTTTGTCCTTCACTAACAAAAACATTATAATAGACCAGACCTTCGGGGTTTTATGTCTGAGTCTTATAATGAACGATGATTAATCCTCCGCCATTTACAAAGCTTCAGTTTTGTCTGCGGAGGAATTTCACCTTGGCTCCAGCGTTGCATGTGCAGTACCCCTCGCCGCTGACTGTTTGTTTGAGTTAGCAGGAGTGCTCGGGCCACCCCCCCCCCCCCCCCACCACACACACACAAAGACACACACACAAATGATTTCTAAATAAGTGTTCGCCTCTCATAAATCACCTACTCCATAGGTCCGTGAGTGACACACACACACACACACACACCACGCCACCACACACGCTTCAGATAAATAGCTCCTTGATTAACTTCACCAGAGTGCATTAGAGGCAGGCATGTTAGCCGGCACCACAGAGCGGGGTTGTGAAGACGAAGCCATTTCTTCCCTTGGCAGCCAAGTCTGTGAAGTTCTTGGCTTTGAGATGTTTGATAGTTAGTGGTGTTAATGAGTAATTAATGAGTAATCCTCTCAGGCTACAAAGTGAAGGGACAGTATAATGTTTAAAAGTTACTACAGTGTAATTTCAGTGGCTGGAGCAATACAATCCGCCGAGAAGTATATTTTAAATTACATTTTCACAAAGCTTTTAATGTCCAGTTTATTACATTGGTGGCTTAATTTGTGTATCAAGTAGCTGCACAAGCATGTTTATATAGTCTCTGTTTTTTCTTAGTGTTCATTTACAATCCTTTTTAATGCTTGAGGCTGACGCACTGTTTACTGACAATGCATTTCAAAATATTCATAAGCTTTATACTATCTGATTGTGAAGAAAACAAAATTGCGCTTCTTGCATGTCAACTCTTTCCGTGTGGCAGTGAAGTTGTGTGGTCTCCCGTTTAGGTGCATCAATAGCACAGTAACAGGAAAGTGATGTCAGCTGTCGTGATCTTTGTGTATGCAACAAATGAAATACCTAACCAGAATAAATGAGTGAAGAAACATAATGGATGTATGGCACGAGGGATGGTTTTGATGAGAATGTAAATTATGTGAAGAATATGCACAACAGCCACAAGTTCTTAACCCTGATTTCAGAGATCTTTGTCCTGATGTTTTAGTTGGGAAGAGTATAAGGGACATTTTAAAGAAGGAAAACATCATATACACAATTTGTGTTTTGGTGAAAGTAAACGTTTT